ATGCTTTCTGAAATCTCTGGATGTCACACTACGGATGTCAATTCACAGTTACCCTTGACCGCAGAAAGCTGTTCAATTCTTCATAATTCAATAGGCTCTGTATTTGTTCAAGCGGCAGCCGTACTCACGATTGTGTATTATCCAACCTCCACTGGCTTATCCGAACTTTTCATATACAGCTTAATGCCTTGCTGTAGATCTCTTCTAACTCTAACTAGAGCGGAAACACCGCTTGAGTACCTAGATATTCCAAACGGCATCAAAGTCGACTCGTAGTGCGAACGAGCAAACTTGGTCTACGACACAACGCATAAGTTGCCAGATGACTTCCTTTCCTCTTCCTCACTCTTCAGTACGCCGCACCTATCTTTGCATCCTTACTCCAGCAGCGTAGGCATTCTCTGTGCTTGATCCTACCACTTGAGTGGTCGGTGTGTAATGCAGAGCGGATTCTTGGCCAGCATTCAACTCCTCATTGGCAAAGTCGAGGTATTTTGTCCCCAGTAGCCTCCTTAAATTGGTCCTTTTTAAATTCATGTTAGAAACCCAAAGCGATACACTTTAGACCAGAATGATCGTCGAACAACGGTTTTCATTGGCCGTCTTAAACTTGCCTTCGAAACGCTTGACAAGGTGATAGAACCGATGTTTTCTGCATGGAATTTTCGGAGGCTTTCAATCGCTTGGATCATTGAATACTGCTTCACACACTTCAGCCCTACGGCATCGGAGATCTAATATTAGGAAGGATTTTTGGCTTTCCTCGCGCCTAGAAATTAGAGGTTAAAATTTTGAACATCCCTGTCCGACCGGATTCGCGTGACCGCGGCGTACCGCAGGGTTTCGTACTTTGGTTTTGCCTGTCCTTTGTTTTCATTGACGAACCAGCGAAATGTATCATCACAAAATTTTGTTCTTAGCGGACGACGTTAAGGTTTAGCGGACAATCGAGGGAATGGACTACCACTAGATCCTCTAGCGCGACCTCCATGAAGTATGACATTGGTCGGCGAGGATCGCGCTGCCAATCCATTTGGATAGGTTCCACGTTGTCTACCTCCGCCATCGATGCGCTTACATCCATAAACTTGGGACGTAGGTTTTGCAAATATTCTCTCTGGAACGTGACCTCGGTGTACTGGTACAGGACAACCTCGGTTGTCCCAGACAGTGAGAATCCGCTTCAAAAAGTGGCAACCAACAGGTTGGTCTCTTGCAGTGGGCGTTCGGGACTTTGGATTCATCCATTTCTCTAACACTCAATGCCTACGTGCAACACTAAGTCGAATACGCAATCCAGGCTTGGCATCTTTGGCCAAAGCTTGACCCTGCAGCACTCGAAACTCCCCAACGTGCAGAAACGAAATGTGTCAAGGGACTGCACCACTTTCCGTACCAGCAACAACTGGAGACACCCGGGGTGTTCACTGGACACTACTGGCTGCTACCTGGATACTTTATATTTGTTTACCAAGTACGGCGCGACCCCTGTCACGTATGCCGACACATTTTGAAACTCAGCCCCATCACCAATCTCAGAGACACTGTCCTCTGCACAGTTCGTAACTGGCATGGCAGTGGAAGATGAGCCGGACTATACCTTAGCGAACTGTCAATGACGCAGCTTCGCGGCTGTCATCCATGGCGAAGTGGCACTAATTGCTGGCATTCTGAAGTCACTGGGGCGGAACCCGGCAGGGGTCCGCTGGGAGGCGCACCACTGAGGAGACGCAGAAGGTCGAAATGACGGATTCTGGTGTTTCTCCAGACTAGCCTACGTCTGCTGATTGGGAATGACGATGATGAATCAGTTAAACTATACCAAAATCCTCCCTACTACTACTCAGAGGCAATAGCCTGAAACAGAGGCAAAAATACAGTAATTTAGTTTGTCGACGAGCTTATTTCTCCTTCCGAGTCTGCTAACCTTGGAACGCCCTCCAAACTCAATTACCTGTTATCCCACCTTAGACGTTTTTAAAAAAAACGATTAGATATCGAATTGAACGCCCTGCATTTTGTTACATGAACGGATCTTCGGAGATATACTCAGACTAAATTGGCTGTTACTAAATTATGATCCACTTTATCACACGTAAACCTGTGCAAATGATTGAGCAGTCTGATTGTTATTTGCAATGATTGTTAACCATAACAAGTTGTTATTTCGTTTTGTGCGGCACTAGCTCGCTCCCAAAACTCACCTTCTATACATTATTACTCTATCGCCATACCGATGCGTATTTTATTTGGTCCACATTGGTAATATTTCAATTATAATTTCTACTAGTACCAGTCTACGGGACATATTAATGCCTGTTATTTTACCCGTTCCAAACCATGTTTCCACTGTTCTATTGGTAACTCTCAAAGCCATTTTGTTGTGTCCACGAAAGTGGAACAGTGCCTAAGAAAAGTAATTGAATGTATGGGCGCTTTCTCGATTTAACGGCGGTGGTAACAGTTTAGCCATTCATCCCAGGCAGCGCAGGCAATCAGGAGTAATCACGCGCGTTCGTCCAAATGACGATTAAGTGACCGTATTAAGTCATGAATTATCAATGACTGTCGAGGGTAAGTTGTTAAGACCACAGCTTCATTTGAGCCCATCTGTGGACGAAATGTTATTGGTCTTTGTATGCATTGAATAGCCAAGATAAACCTGTTACCTTGTCAGCGAGTGCGTGCTAATCGTGCAGTCCTGTGCTCTGTGTTAAATTGGGCATATCCCCTTACAAGCTTGTGCCACTACTTCGGAAGTACGCTCAATCGATTCGGATCACTGAGTTCTATCCAACGACGTCTATATTTTTGAAGTAAGTCCAACGATACGCTGGTACAACACAAGTAAAATCTTCGGAATTCTGTTCACTAAGGCCAAATTGAGTAACTTTGCTTATTTGAGTTTCCGTACCTTTGGGATACCATTCGACAGAGCTTCTTTAAGGCTGTCAGACAATACATAACTCAGTACTGTGCACTACTCTATACCATAGGTACTGGCATTTTTTGTCATCTCGCGTTACCACCATATTTTTACGTGCATTTCGTTGCACAAAGCCTGTGTGATTTTCGCTACTCGTGCGCCTAATGACGTACCACCACCAAATCTGTTGACCGGAGCAGACAACTGAGGCAGCCCAAACAGCGTGACCAGCGCCACTTAAAAGTGCATACCGACCATTGATCCATGGGCCAGAAAAATTTGTCAACCTGGAAGCCAATGAGCGACAAACCCAAGGTCAACCGTAGCTCAGACAAGCGGGGAACTGTGCTCCTCTGGAAAATCACATGTTTGTTCTGTGCCAATTCCTACGACGTAACAAATGTGATCAGTACACGTAACGAACAACATATCAACACATAGGTTGTGGCTTTGTGACTTATGTTCAGATAGTCTAATAATTAAGATCTTCTAAGTCGCACTTAATGCTCCAAAGCATGCAGAGTTACTCACAAATTGCACGATCACCTCCGTCAGTAGCTGAGCAACAACAATGGATTCCTACAGATAATTCAACTAAAGGCACTGCACGTAAAACTAATCTTGCTGTAGCTTTGACCTGTCGTCCACGGAAGACAAGCCAGACACTCCCACTCGACAAACCTACGCTCACAAGAAACTGCAGAACAAACAATTACTACGCTACGAGAAGAAGATGACAGTGATTTGTTCAAACGTCCCAGAACCCACTAGCGAATCGCTAAAAGGTAGACAAGCCGAGGAGCAAAACCGGTGGGCTAAAGTAACCTGCGCACTCGGACTGAAAGTTCTCCCAACTAGTCTTACACGCTTTTCACGAACTCCATCATCTCCGCACGTGGAGGAATTTCTGGTACTGCGAGTAACGTTTGACAACACACGCGACCTGGAAGATGTTCTCTTAGCAAGCCACATGCTAGTGAACTTTTCTGTCAGTGCCTGCATTTTTCCTGACAGGCCATGGGCAGAAAGAGAGAAGCGGAAATCCAACCCTAGTTCGTCACGTCAAAATGAGATGAAAAAAGTGATACTGGTTCATGGTGTGCCAGAATTGAAGCATGACGATAGCAGTGAGTGACAGAAGCACGATATCGAAGAATGGAGGTACATCACACAGCTTTAGGACATGCAAAATATCGTGGCTTTTGAGATCACCCGTGTAGTTGCCTCTACAAACCACCAAGGCAGCAGGTCATAAATTTTGTAGTTACCTTGGCTGCGCCCGAAACGACATCAGTGATGATCC